CCACTGTCCCACTGTACCCACCACTGTCCCACTGTCCCCGCCGCTGTCCCACTGTGCTGTCCCACCGTCCCCACTGTCCCCATCACTGTCTCACTGTCCTCACTGTCCCCACCACTTTCCCCACTGTACTACTGCCCCACTACTGTCCTCACCACCGCCTTCACCACTGTCCCCACCACGAACGTCCCCATCACTGTCCCACTGTCCCCACCACTATCTCGCTGTCCCCTCACCACTGTTTCCACCACCACCGTACCCACCACTGTCCGCACCACTGTCCCACTGTCCCCGCACCACTGTCCCCACCACCACCGTTCCCACCACTGTCCCAGCATCCCCACCATTGTCCAACTGACCCGAGGAGCGGGAATCGTTTGCCGGCAGCGAAGAGGTGGGGGGGTTTGAACCGGTAGTGACTCCCCCCTGTTTTCGAGGGATGGGGGTTCGAACCGGTAGTGACCCCCCTTGTCATGATGGACTGGGGGGGGGAGGGGTTCGAACCGGTAGTGACCCCCCCCTCCCTTTTCGAGGGGGGGGTTGGGGGGGACGGGTTGGGAACCCCCAGTGACCCCCCCCCCTGTTTTCCGCCAGCAGCGGTAGAACACGCGCTTTCATACATACAGACAGAAAGACATATTCACACCTATATATATATATATATATACACACACACTTGAACCATCGCGCGCTTCACGCGCGCTCAAGTTCTAGCTAGCTTCTTGGGGCCTCCTCGGAGCAGTCTGGACTGCTTCTTGAAATCGTCATGGGACCTTCTTGGCATGTCTTCGGGGGCCTCTTAGAAAGAGTTTTGAAGCCTTTTGGGTGCCGTCTTGGGGGTTCTTGGAGCCTCTTTTGGGCTTCTTGGGGGCCTCCTAGGGCCTCTTGGGGGCCTCTTGGGGCCTCTTGGGGGGTTCCTGGGGGCATCTTGGGGCGGAGAGCTTGATTTTTCAGTTCGCGTTCCCTCCCTTGGGCCCCTCTTGGGGCCTTCTTGAGACCCTCTTGCGCCGTCTTGGGCAGCTCTGGGGCCGTCTCGGGGCTCTCTTGGGCCGTCTTGGGGCCGTCTTGGGGCTCTCTTGGGCCGTCTTGGAGCGGTTTTGGGAGCCGCTTGGGCGGTGCTTTAGCGCCGGAAACACGAAACAGCGAGAATGCAAAAAACATGTTTAAAAACAAATGGAAATCAACGATTTTGCCCTCTCGGGGCGCTCTTGGGCGGCATCTGAAACGCCACTTGGGGCGTCTTGGGGGTCTCCGGGGCAGTTTAAAACGCATCGTGCGTCGCCAGAGACCCCTGGACTGCGTCTTAGGGGTGTCTCGAGACCGTCTGGGACCGCCGGGATTGCTGTCTGAGGGCTCCCCGGGGTGATTTTTGGCCTCCCAGAGGCGGGCCCAGGCCCTGGTGCCCACATTTGTGGTCGAGGTTCTGGCCCTCGGCCCCTGGGCCTGGTGTGCCGTAATATGCATGTATGTTTATATATATATATACACACATATATGCATAGGTGTACAGACATGCATACATACACACATACATACATACATACATACATACATACATACATACATACATACAGACAGACAGACAGACAGACAGACAGACAGACAGACATGCATACATGCATGCAAATTATACATATACATATACATACATACATACACACACATACATACATACATACATACAGACATACTTACCTACCTACCTACCTACCTACCTACCTACATACATACATACATACATACATACATACACACACACATACATACATACATACATACATACATACATACATACATACATACATACATACATACATACATACATACATACATACATACATACATACATACAAATATACATATATACATACATACATATATACATATATATATGCATACATGCATGCATGCATGCATGCATGCATGCATACATACATACATACATACATACATACATACATACATGCATACGTACGTACATATATACATACATACATACATACATACATACATACATACATACATACATGCATACATGCATGCATGCATGCATGCATGCATGCATGCATGTATACATACATACATACACGTACGTACGTACGTACGTACATACATACATACATACATACATACATGTAATGAGAAAAAGGTCAATATTGGCCAGCGTGGACCCCAAACAGAGCGATATTGCAATCGAGGTGAAAGCTATGCGGCGTAAGCAATGCGGTGTAAGCTATGTCGTGTCAATCATATGGTGCGACCTATGGACGAAACAACTATACGCTACAAACTGCGTGGTCGAAATTATGTCGTGCAAGCTGGATGGTGCAACCTGGAAAAGCTATGGGATGTAAGCTACGTGATGTAAGATATGTTGTCAGCTATCCAGTGTAAGCTGCGTTGTGTAAGCTGTGTAATGTAAGCTATGAGGTGCAAGCAATGTCGTGTAAGCCCAGGGAACGGGGCAGCAACGAGGCGGCACCAGCCAGGCACCAGCCGAAACCCCGACACACCAACCAAGCGGGAACGAGGCGAAACCAACTTGACACCAGCCGAAAGCCCGCCACACATATACACACAGCGCACGCGGCGGCAACGAAACGGCAATGAGGCAGCACCAACCGGGCACCAGCCGAGACCCCAACACACCCACCCAGCGCACGAGGCGGCATCGAGGCGGCAACGAGGCGGCAACGAGGCGGCACCAACAGGGCACCAGCCGAAACCCCAACACACCCATGCAGTGCGGCAAAGAGGCAGCAACAAGGCGGCGCCAACGGGGCACCAACCGAAATCCCAACACACCCACCCTGCGCACGAGACGGCAACGAGACGGCACCAAGGGCATCAGCCGAAACCCGGACACACCCATCCACTTCTTTAGGCAACCGATGTAAGAACCCTTACATGCAAGCACGGTTTGGGGAATATCATATGCCTCAGCAGATGGTACATGCAGACTGTTTCGTTACTTTCATAGTTCCCTACCTGGGCTCTGCCTAGAAAGGTTCTTACTCTGTTTGCTTAAAGGGGCCGGGCAGTGGAAATTGCCCCGGGCGGTTCCCCCAGTCCCCTGGGAGCCAAGCAAAAGTAACAGCAAAGGTAAAAGCAAACGCGCAAGTCCCCCAGTTGCGCTCCCTGGGTGCCAAGCAAAAGCAAAAGCAAAGGCAAAAGTGAAGGCAAAAGCGAAGGCAAAGCAAAAGCATAGCATAGCATAGCTTAGCCTAGCATAGCATAGCATAGCATAGCATAGCATAGCATAGCGCAGCATAACATAGCGCAGCATAGCATAGCATAGCATAGCCTAGCCTAGCCTGGCCTAGCCTAGCCCAGCATAGCACTGCGCAGCATAGCATAGCAGAGCAGAGCAGAGCAGATCATAGCATAGCATCGCATAGCATAGCGCAGCACAGCATCCACTATTGCTGCTGCTCTATATATATATATATATATACCCGCTTGCTTTTGCTGCTGTCTCGGCGCCTTGCTGCCTGCTTCTGCTGCTGCTTCACTTACGGCGAGTCGTCGGCGGTTCTGGCGCTACTATTACTACTACTACTACTACTACTACTACTACTACTACTACTACTACTACTACTACTACTACTACTACTACTACTACTACTACTTACTACTACTACTTACTACTACTACTACTACTACTACTACTACTACTACTACTACTACTACTACTACTACTACTACTACTACTACTACTACTACTACTACTACTACTACTACTACTACTACTACTACTACTACTAACTACTACTACTACTACTACTACTACTACTACTACTACTACTACTACTACTACTACTACTACTACTACTACGACTACTACTTACTACTACTACTACTACTACTACTACTACTACTACTACTACTACTACTACTACTACTACTTACTATACTACACTAACTACTACTACTACTACTACTACTACTACTACTACTACTACTACTACTACTACTACTACTACTACTACTACTGCTACTACTACTACTACTACTACTACTACTACTACTACTACTACTACTACTACTACTACTACTACTACTACTACTACTACTACTACTACTACTACTACTACTACTACTACTACTAACTACTACTACTACTACTTACTACTACACCACTACTACTGCTACTGCTACTGCTACTGCTACTGCTACTACTACTACTACTACTACTACTACTACTACTACTACTACTACTACTACTACTACTACTACTACTACTACTACTACTACTACTACTACTACTACTACTACTACTACTACTACTACTACTACTACTACTACTACTACTACTACTACTACTACTACTACTACTACTACTACTACTACCGCTACTGCTACAACTACGACGATGAGGAGAAGGCGGAGGACGGCGTTTACCGCTCCTACTAATGTTGCTTTCCTAGAGGCTCCAACTCCTAGGTAGGGTCGCACTGGGATAAGTTTGACGACTCTGCCTGTGCTGCGCTAGTGGGTTCAGCCCCTTCCTGCCACAGGAAGCTGGCTGACGAGATATGTTCTTTGACACGGCAAGAAATATGGAGCTGCAAGATGTTCATCATGACCTGCATTACTGCCGCATACGTTCCTAACCGTGAATAGTCGCGCAAAACATGTCTGACAATATGATGCGCATGCGAAAACTAACATATCATCGTCGACCAAGTCGGAAAAAACGACCTGCATTCCAGCAGAAGAATTCGCTGCAGGTGGTCGAGTCGGACAACACCAAGCTAGCAACGAACTCACAGACTCCACGCAAAGTCAGTATTATTACCAGCGCGAACATGATGTGCGTATCCTTGCTACATCGCGGATCCAGGAAACTGCAACAACTCGTGCAATAAGAGAACAGGCGTAATTATGGCGTATTGCGTCCTATGCGTGAACGATACCAACGATGCCTTCGACATGCGTAACTTAAGATGTGCCCAGTCGCTCCCTCGCCTCGCTTTCTGCCCCGCCACCCACACAAGGATATCCTGGAGACACGCGATCCAGCAGCAGGACCAAAGCCGCAGAATGACGTTGTGCATGCAGAATGAATCGATGGCTCCTGCTGCGTTGCCGAAGAAACTCTCTCACAAGAGCTGATTCACTCAGGAGAAGAAACAGTCGGTCAAGCACCACACGCTTGCTGCGCATCGGCTGGTGATCTTGTTATGCTGCAATATGGGATCCGCTGGACCCGCTTAGTGACGAGGCCTATGATCAAGGCCGTCCACGGCGACAGTGCAAGTGAACACCGCCCGAACCGAAAGCGAAATCGAAACCAACCGAACCCGAATCTACTGGAAGCGGCCGAGGCAAGCGCAGCGACGCAACAGTAACACACAGAAGGAGCCGAACCGACTTAATCAGTGCCATCCTCAGTGACACAGTCACCGTGCTACTACGAGGAGCACCAAATAACGAACGAAGAAGCGTTTCTGGCCACGGCGAGCCTCGGCGACGAAAAGGTCCCCGGACCCAGACAGGAGGAATTGCCCGAAAACCAGCGCCCCTCCCAGACCAAAACTGGTCCTTAATTCAGTTAGCGTCTTGACTGTACGGTTTGCAGCCCCTTCCTCCTACTCGTCCTCTCCAGAGGTCCAACTGCCGTGTCGTGACGAGTTCGGCGCTGGCTCATTCGACGAACACGTGTGAGCCCTACCCATGCAGGTCAAACGTCTGAGAAGCCGGCTGTGGTTCAGAATCAGAAGAATGCCTGGAGCCAAGTGAGCACCAGCGGGGATGTCCGACACCGCTCAGACTTCTCGCGCCACCCTTGACGCGTTTCGGGCCTCGTGAGGCTTGCTCCAGAGACCATCCAGGCTTCCCTGGAAAAGATGGGGCCGCCTCGGGCCAGGGCAACTTCTGGCAACTCCCAATACTGGGGCACGGCACGGCTGATTCGTGCCGTAACGGCGCCAGCGTTGGTTTCCGACACCGCGTGGAGCATTCAACCCTGAGCGATCGTGGCTTCCCGATGGCGCAGATCGTCCGATATATAGGCCAAGTCCAAACCATCGACAGCGTTCAGCCTTGAACGCCCGCGCTCGCGTCGCAACCGCGTCGACACGACACGGACCTACCGAAGCTGTCACCTGCTTCCCAGAAAGCCAGAACTGGGCTCGAGGGCGGGTCCCCCCACGAGCTCCTCAGCACACCTCCTGGGCCCCGAGAGGCAGGAACAGGCCATATCCGCCACCATGTCGCTGGGCACGGAGCGGGCGTGTCCTCAACTCCTTTGCCCGGTCCCCTGAGCGTCAGTCCGCAGTTCTGAGGAGTCAATTAGCGGCTTGGACCCAGATTTCCGAAATCTCTTGAGGCTCATCGCGGCTCCCCTGGGCTCCCCTGCGTCTCCCCGCGTGGCCTTTTGGGGGCCAAGAGAACTTAACGATGGGCCAAGAGGGCTCCAGAAGGCCGCCAAGACGGCCCAAGAGGGCCCAAAACGGCCCCCAAGAGGTGCCCAAACTGCCTGCAAGAGGTCCCCGAGAGGCCTCCCACGAGATCCCAAAGAACATCCACTAGGCTTCATACCCACACCCCAGGAACGGTGGCAAAATGGGCCGAAAGCCATTACACCTGGGCTGGCACGGAAACGGAAAGAGCGGACCAGGAAATTGCTCGACAGGGCTCACGGCAACCTTCGCTCTTGGGAGCATTGGTGGTAAGACCTTGTTACGTCACCGCTCGCTCGTGGGAGCCTTGGTGTTCAGAGACTTTTACGTTGCTCTCGCTCTTGGGCACCTTGGTGTTCAAAATTGTTTACGTCAACGTTCATTATTGGGAGCCTTGGTGTGCACGAGTTTGTCACGTCACCGTTCGCTCTTGGGAGCCCTGGCGGGATGAGCTCGTTACGTCACCAGTCTCTGTTGGGAACCCTGGTGTTCAGAGATGTTTACATTGCCGCTTGCTCTTGGGAGCCTTGGCTCAACGAGCTTTTGTACGTCACCTTCGCGCTTGGGAGCCTTGTTGCGAAGAGCTTGTTACGTCGCCACTCTCCGTTGGGAGCCCTGGTGCTCAGAGACTTTTACGTTGTCGCTCGCTCTTGGGCGCCTTGGTGCGACGAGCTCTTTACGTCACCGGGCTCTGGGGAGCCTTGGTGTCAAGAGCTTGTTACGTCACAGCTCGCTGATGGGAGCTTGATCGTATCGCAGGCCTAGTCGGGGTCTTCTTGGGGGCCCTTTTGGAACCCTTGGGGAAGCGTTTTGGGGCACATTTGGGCCGTATTGGGGCCCTTTTGGGCCGTCTTGGGGCGTCTTGAAGGCCATTGGGCGTCTTGGGGCTCTCTCGGAGGCCGCTTGGAGCCATCTTGATAGCCTCTTTGGGCCCTCTTGGGGCTCTCCTGGGGCCGTCTTGGAGCCCTCGCGGGCCGTCTTGGAATCCTTTTGGACCGTTTGGGGCTCCTCTGGGGCTGTCTTGGGACCCTCTTGGGGCCGCGAGACAGTTTGGACCGCTCGGGGCTCCCAGGGGCCAATGTCGTCCCCAGAGGAAAAGGTTAGCCCCGTGAGGGCTGACTTGAAAGCGCATGCCGAGGAGCTTCGAACGGATCGTGCCATGCGACCTGTGCAAGCTGTTGTACAAGTGAACCATGAACAGCAGCAGCTGCTCCTCATCCTGGCGTCGCTCCTCCCTTGTCTCCGCGCGCAGCACAGTCGAGCGCCGACGGACGCGACAAAACGTCGCCCACTGTCTCCACGCCACACCGTAATCAGCTGGCGCGCGTGCTGCGGGCTACCGAGGCCACCGCCGCCTCGTCCACCAGCCCCTGGAACTCCGTCTTGTAGCTGCCGTCCAGCCTGTCTCCTGCTCCCCGGGTGTCGTCGCGCGCCAGCTGCCTCAACTGCTGCCCCAGGTCCGAGCCCCCTTGGCCTTGTCCGTCGGTCTCCGCCAGGAACATGTTGACTGCATCTGGATCGATAGCCACGGGTTCCTCCTCCTGAGCCCAGGTCCTCACGCTCGCGAAGCCCAAGCCGTCGTCCCTGAGGTCCCCCGTGACCCTGAAGTTCCTGCGCAGGGAGAAGGGGGGGGGCTTCGGCTTTGCCACCGGCGCACTCACCGGCGGCGACGGCGGGTCTCCCGCGCACGCTTCCGCAGGCGCCACCCTGACCAGGGGTCCTGCCGACGATGCCGCCCCCGCCGATCGAGGCGCGTCTCCCCCGTCCTCCTCTGCTCGCTCCGCTGGCGCCAGGCGCGGCCCCGGCCGCGGCAGCGGCCCCCGGCCGCCCGGCGCCGGGCGCAGCCCTGGCCGGGGCAAGGGGCGCGGGCCCCCAGGGCGCCCCCTGCCGCCGGCCCTGGCCAGGGCAGGGGGCCCTGGCCCTGCATGGGGCGCAACTCGTGGCCTTGGCTGGGGCAGCGAAACACGTCCCGCCGGGGAGCTCGATCCCCCTGGCGTCGGCGGCGGACCTCGGGCCGCGCTCGGCCGACGCCCGCGCCCCGATGCGGCCAGACCCCGGCCCCCCTCTCGCGCGCTCGCCTGGCCGACAGCCGGCGCGTCTCCCCCGCAACTGTCTCCTGCCCCCTGGGCGTCGACACCTCGGTCTCTGGCTCGACCTTGACCGCGCGCGGCGACGCCGGGGCCCTCGATCCGATGTACTCCGCGTTCTCCATGGCGCGCGCCTCCGTCTTAGACACCCTGCGCGCAGCCTCCGCCCCCTGGGCCCGCCCGCGCCCCGCCCCCCCCCTCACCCGCTGCGCCTGCGTCGGCGGGGGCGGCGGCGGGCGCTCCGAGCTCGCGGCCCGGCCTCCTCTGGTCGGCGGCCAGCGCCCTCGGGCATCGGGCAGCTCCCCCAACTCAACCCGGACCGCGACCGGGGAAGGGCTGCCGGGCTGCATCGGGTTCGCCCCCCGGAAAGCGGAGGAACCTCTGCCGCATCTCCCGCGACGCTGCCCCCTGCCCTGCGCTGCTGTCGCTCTATCCTGGCAGTGGGGCCCCTTCTCGCAGCGGGCGCAATGCTCGACGCCGCCCACCGCCCGCGCTCCACCGCGGCCCTTGCCTGCGCATGCGTTGCAAAAGTAGCCCGCCTTCCATGTCTGCTCTGGCTGGGCGTGCTCGAGGCACTGGCAGCCCGCCGTCTTGCAGGGCCGCCGCTCGGCTACGGGCGCGGGCAGCGGGGCGGCAGTTGCCGCGGCGGCACTCGTCGCGCAGTCGCGCCCGCGCATGGCGCAGCGGACATCGGGGTCGCCACCCTCCAGGCTGCACTCCTCGCACCGCGGCGGCACAGCGAAGTGCCCGAGGGCGTTCGCGGCCGCCGGCGCCTCGATCGCCCAGGGGGCGCCCGCTCCCCGCGCCCGCCCACAGCGACCCTCCGCCGTCCACTCGCCCTAGGTCTCCTCGTCGTCCAGGCCACCCGCGCGGTGCTCTCCGCCGCGGATCTGGCCCATCCTGCGAACCTCCACCTCGCTCCGACTGCGCCCCTCCGCCCCAGGAGCGGGCGCCGCGCCTGCCCTGAGCAGCAGGGCCCATGTTCCTGACCATCAGCGCACAGCAGATCCACGCTGTGCCCCGGGCGACCGCCGCGCATGGTCGGGTGCACCCCGGCGTCGTGCACTCCCGGCGCCCCCCTCGCCCGGTCCCTCGCCAGCCTGTCTGGGCACGGGCCCTCGAGGAGAGACTCGCGGGGCGTCTTGCCAGCCCGCCCGGGGCCCCGTGCTGGGTCAGCGTTCGGCCTTCCATCTAAGGCCGCGCCCGGCACAGGCTCCGCTGTCTCGGGGCCGTGCGTCAGCCAGGCCAGCTGGCCGCTCCTCCTCCGACGGCCGGCCCTGGCCTCGAGGCTGCCTGACCTCCGCCTCGGCCGGGCCCTCGCCCCGCTGGGCGTCGTCCAGCACGCCGCCATGCCTGTCCCGTGCCGACAGCCGTCACCGTGGCCTGCTCTTGGCTCCGCCTCCTGGAGCGGTCGCGCGGCTGCCCCTGGCTCGGGGAAGGGGTCGCAGGGTGCTCCTCGAGCTGCTCCCCACCCCGCCCACGCCGACACGCCGCCCCTCCTGCCACCTGCAGCCCCGCCCACGTTGCCCCTCCAGCAACGGCGCGCCCCCCCCCCGCCTCGCGCTGTCAGCGGCCCGAGAGCCCGC